GAATCTGAATGGAATTTTCTTTTGTGATAAAACAGCGTCTGTTTGCGGGTGAAACATTTGTCACACTGAGTACACTTGAAGGGTTTTTCTTTACTGTGTATCCGCAGATGGCCTTTCAAGTGAGATGATTGTCGGAAACATTTTTTACACCGAGTACATCTGAAGGGCCTTTCATTGTTATGTATTAACAAGTGTCTTTTCAAATCTGATGAACATCTGAAACACTTGTCGCAATGAGTACATTTAAAGGGTTTTTCTCCACTGTGTATCCGCAGATGGCCTTTCAAGTGAGATGATTGTCGGAAACATTTTTTACACAGAGTACATCTGAAGGGCCTTTCATTGTTATGTATTAACAAGTGTCTTTTCAAATCTGATGACCAACTGAAACACTTGTCACACTGAGTACATTTGAAGGGTTTTTCTCCACTGTGTATCCGCAGATGGTCTTGCAAGTGAGATGAGCGTGTAAAACATTTTTTACACCGAGTACATTGGAAGGGTTTTTCTTTACTGTGTATTCGCAGATGGCCTTTCAAGTGAGATGATTGTCGGAAACATTTTTTACACCGAGTACATCTGAAGGGCCTTTCATTGTTATGTATTAACAAGTGTCTTTTCAAATCTGATGAACATCTGAAACACTTGTCGCAATGAGTACATTTGAAGGGTTTTTCTCCACTGTGTATCCGCAGATGGTCTTGCAAGTGAGATGAGCGTGTAAAACATTTTTTACACCGAGTACAATGGAAGGGTTTTTCTTTACTGTGTATCCGCAGATGGCCTTTCAAGTGAGATGATTGTCGGAAACATTTTTTACACAGAGTACATCTGAAGGGCCTTTCATTGTTATGTATTAACAAGTGTCTTTTCAAATCTGATGACCAACTGAAACACTTGTCACACTGAGTACATTTGAAGGGTTTTTCTCCACTGTGTATCCGCAGATGGACTTTCAAGTGAGATGATTGTCGGAAACATTTTTTACACCGAGCACATTTGTAGGGCCTCCCATCAGTGTGTACTCTGAGGTGTTGGTGTAAACCATCTGCTCTTTTGAAACACTTTTCACATTGGCTACACTTGTAGGCCTTCACATCACTGTGAATCTTCATGTGTTTATTCAGAGCTGACTTGACATTAAAACACTTTCTACAGGTGCTGCACTTGAACGATGTCCTTCGAGTTCTCTTCTCCGCGGCCATGTCTGGTATTTTAAAAGCAAGAAAAACAGAAGATATTGGTTGAGTTTTTAACGGCAATATTAATTTTTTGCGTGAGTTCTGCCGGTTGCTTGTCTGGGTTGCAGGTAAAATGCTGAATTTTTTGAAGCTGGAGACTGTCCTCGACTAAGAAAACTAAAAAATAATAAATTAATACATAAAAAATACGTAATTGTTCCAAATAAATACTTCTTTTTCATTATATCATTGTCTATCAGAGATAATGGAAAAGAACTATTACATATTATTTAATTATTTATGTGTACTTTTTAGTCAGTTTGATTCTCATCCAATTTGATGCACGGTCTTATGTGTGGTTTCATCCACAGCTTGTTTCAATGAATCAATCAGAATAAATGGAGCCTTAAAATTAAAATCACCTTGCCGTTTCTCGCTGGTTTAAATGGCATTTTAGTGAGTTTGCTCAACAGGACGGCAGAAACTACGGTGGCCCAGAAAGGTCACACATGCAAATTAAAAATAAAGCCGTTTATACGAGGAAAAATAAGACGCGTCTTAAATAAGACACGAACTGTACCATTTATACGAGCATGTCTTATCTAAGACGAGAACAGCTCGTGTAAATGGTTCGCGTCTTATTTCTGTTCTTGACTCGTTTTCATGTGAATGTTGCCCGTAGCAACGGCAATCCAACGTGGCGCGCCAAAAATTAACGCATGCGTACTATGCATGTGTGTCTTGTGTGTGACAAACGTGCCAGGGATTATTAATTGCCCCCGCAGGGATTTCGCCCAGAAGGCGAAATCCCGAGGAGGCACTCTAGTAACTCGCGCGTATATCAAGGAAAGTCCTTACAGCTGAAATATACAGTCATAACAGTCAATATAGAAAAAATCTCGATTTGCTTGAACAGGGGCCGCGAGGAATCGGTAGGTAATGATGACGTTTCTATTGTTTGCAAGTGCGAAATGGTTAGGATGACGTAGAGACAGAAAATCCCGAAGGGACCGCTCAGGTAGATTTTGTGACATTTATTGTGCAGTCATACTTCGACACTCTTTTGCGTTACGCAGTGACATTCTGTGGAGCAGTTGTTTTGAAAGTTATGGTCCAAAAGACACTCTTTAAGCGCAGACGAGGTTATAAAGTGCGTTTAACTGTGTATATAGTCTATATATAAACACTTGGAGAGTTTGCCAGACACGAGTTCACAAATCTTTGATTTATTCAACTTCTAATTAAATCTTTTCTTATGGTTTAGAATAAACTATTCTCGAAACTGAGAAAGTTTTGATCAAAGCTGTGTAAATCGAGCGGAAACTGTGCACGGAACCTTGCGTTTCCTGTATTTATCTCACCTGTTGTATGGAATATGTGTGAAAATCTTCATTATGAATCGGTATATTTCAAAGAGCTACACAACGAGCAAGAATACTATTGACCGACAATATACAGAACGGGGGCAGCTGTAGTGTCAACTATTACTAATTATGTGTTTTGTCGTGATCTAATCACTTTACATTCTTGTTTTCTGGTCTTTTACAAAACGATCTGTTCAAAGGAAGGTGAAGTTTAACGTAAAAAATCATTGTCACGCTTGTCACACAAGGTTTGCCGTCTTGTTTCCTCTCCCGTCCTGTTGCGTAAGTTCACTATTGTCGAATTTTGCACTTGGAGGTGACATAAACTCGACAAAATGCAATTCTAATCAATTGATAAAAGCTTAGGATAAAGTACCACATAAGATCGGAGAACGAAATCGTTAAGAAACAGAGACGAATTCGTTAAGAAACAGAGGAATTTTCAGTTGAAAATAAACCAGGATAAATCAATAGACAATGATATGATGGTAAAGGAATATTTAGAACCATAAGATATTATTTTGTTTGAATCCTCGTTAGTCCAATACAATCTACCCTCCAGCTCCGATACTCTTTAGCCGAACTACAATGTATTATCATTGCTCTACAGTACGTCTGGGCTGCATGTGATGCAACTGCTAAAGCCGACGGGGTTTGCTTAGGTATTCTTTTACCTGCCAGGCACCACAGGGATTTTTTTTCAGGTCAGAATAAAGGTCAGTCACCACAGATAAATAAACAGGACCAAATGAAGCTCCTGGCCCTTATCGCTATCGAACAAAAATAGTTCAAATAGTTCCTGAAAAACCTCACGAGGATGTTACTATTAAAGTTATTATTATTATTATTTACTTATCAATAAAACTGTGATCTGTAATCGTGACCTGAGAAGAAACTGAATGTGACCTGTGACAGAAACCTCTCCGTAGGAATTGAAACTTGAGTCTAATTTATGTGTTTTTAAAATTATGCAGTGTTAACAAAAGAGAACCTTCTATGCTTTGGCAAAACACGACCATGTTAATATCTTAAAAAAGAGTCTCTTTCGTGCGATTCACACCATACAAAAAGCACGGCAGACAACAACCATAAAAGACATAAAAGACAATTGCTACCCTGCAATTTCACTTTAAAAAATGCTTAGCGTTCGGTCATTTGAAGGAGTCATTTCTGGAAAAACTCAGTTTTCACAATGGAAGAAACACAAGACGGTTAATACTCACCGCAAGTTTCGTTCAGTTCGGCAAGTCTCCCCAATGCAAATTGTCGATTGAATACAAGCGTGTTGAGGTGGGAGGAACAGTCGCAAAGGCGGATTTGCCCGATCCGACGACCGATCCTTGCGCCCAGGCCCTTTTAGCTTATATAATTGTGACGTCATTCTACAAGCCATCAAGTATTAATATCATTTGAAACTAGCAATAGATAGTTGTGGAACCAAATTCTTGCCCTTTTTTCTCGTCAACCTCTGTGACCTCTGATTTCCGCAGATCAATTATATAATAATAGGATACTTGTTAATGTAGTTGTATATTTTATTTTATTTTTCGGATGCGTGATAGCTTGAAAAAAACCGCTGTGATGCCTGATAGGTACCCCCTCTCACCCCCTCCTTGCCACCCTGATTTAATTTCCTGTAGAATTCTGCAAAGAAGGTATATTTGATAAGATCGATCTCGAAGCGTTTAAGGACTCTCTATTTGGTCAAGACTTGTCTTGGAATGTTAAGTGCGATACATTGCGGCTAACCAAGAAAAGGGTCCTAGTAGTAGTGCTATGGCATGACAAAATGTAGCGTAGCACGACAGAAGAAGTTTTTGTCAACACATGATGTTGGAACACATGTTGTCGACGATGACCAAGAACATCACGTGGGAGAGGGATTAGGTGCGGCTGTGGCTGATCGATCCAATACGAGCGCATTCCCGGACGCTGGTGAGTTTCTTGAGCAGGTGTCAAGAAGATCGCTTTCAATTGGATTTGCGCAGCTCACGCTCCCTCTGAGCCCCTGCTATCAATGCCTTTGTTGACTTTGCAACGCCAGGCAGGTCAGCTCTAGAGCCAGGGTCACCCAGGTTTCGACATCTATGACAAAGCTTTTCAGCGACGCTTTGAGACAATCCTTGTGGCGCTTTTTCTGTCCACCCTGTGAGCGTTTCCCCTACAAGGTTATGGTCAGCATTTAAACGCAATAATTTTTAGTATAAGGTTGAATGAATTTAGCAAGATAACCCTAGTCGTTCGTTTAACGCGCATAAACTCTGAAGAACTAACCGCAACTGCACCTTACAAGTCATTTTAGACTGCGCCGGGGGAGAACAGGCGGCTGGGACACGGGAGAATTAGGGAAGGGAGGTGGGAGAGGAAAGGGAGGGAGGTGGAGGTTCATAAAAAAGCTGGAAAGCGGTAAAATAGGGGGAAATCAATCAAATAATACGCAACACTAACTGATATTTTTCAACGGAAAAAGGACCAAAGGGAAGAAACCAAGAAAAAAGGGGCGGGAGCTATTAATGCATGCGAGGACCGGATGGCGAGACATTTGGACCCCCCCCTCGCTTCCCCTTTCCCCCTAGTCTACACAACGTAACAAGGTACACACTTGTCTGTGACTTTCAGTTTTTTGCACACAAGAACAATTCAGTGGTCAACAACTTTAACGAACCAAAAAAAATGAAATGTATTAGACTTTTTTTACATCGGTCCGGGCAAGTTTTCAGTAACTCATGCGTATTAAGGCTTGACTCAACCACGAATTCAGTGGTTTTTGATTTCAAGGAAAAATATTCCTATCATTTTTGTGAAACTTGGAAAGCAGGTTCCTTTCCACGTTAACATCCGTTTGATAAGCTTTTCTATTGTAACTCTAAGTCACGTGATTCACATTTGTCAAAATGTTTCACTGAAAATGGGGAATACTTAGTCAAACTGTATTCGCCTTATTTTGTCGTTTTTCTATAGCTCCTAGTAAGGGCTTTAGAATACTGCCTTTTAATCATGTCCACGTGTTATCGGAAACCGTCAATGAAGTAAAAGAGGTCACGTGACTTATCAAATGTACCAATAACTGAAATGCATAGAATGAATTCGGCGTTAAAGGGCGGAATCATGTTGACATCGAAAAGTTTTGAATTTTTAATGTGCAAATGTACCCCATTTGAAGAAACACGTTTTGTGACGTTACCAGGAACAGGAAATCACGTGACTGTATATAACACTTGAATTCAATCAAACACCTCAAATGTTGATTCTTCTCAGTTTCACGATTGAAATAAACTTATTCTTACGAGCTGCATGAGTGATGACTGGGGGTTCTTTATATTAAGACAAGCCTTGACTCACTTGAGAAAGAATGAATTTTACTGCTAGCTGTGCTGTGCAACGATTACGCAGTGTCACATGTTATAGTACTTTTTACACGAGTCCGGATCAATTTAGGTTTCTGGGAAACAACTCACCTACCCCTCCCCTAAGCTAGCATTAAAACTTACTTCTCACTAAGGGCAAAATGTAGGCTTAGGGGAGGGGTAGGTGGGCAGTTCCTCCGAAACCTAAGCTGATCCCGAGTCCGTACAAATATTTGCCAGTGTCAACCCTGGAATAGCCTGCGAACCGGAGGGAGAGAAGCGACGACCGGAAATGTGTCTGCGGTTGGCAGGCTAACCCTGGAATGGCTTTTTTTTATCAAGTAAGTAAGCTCGAAGCTTTTACCGCGCAAACTGTGAAAAAAAAACTTTACACGGTTCAGGTGTTTACACGGCGTGAGCCAACGTGAAGCCGTACCGGTAAAAAAATTTGACCGTCTTGGGTCAGCTCAAAACTTGCACAATTTGCCGTTCAAAAACTTGCACTGTCCCACGGGTTCCATATACATCTAAACCAACGGCTGATCCGTTCAAAAAATTGTCCGGACACGCATAAACGGTTTCTCGTACTAGCCTAGTAAACCAGTTGTGTCAAATTAACGAGAGCTTACTGTAAAGTGCCGCTTATAAGCCTTGAAGCTTTGTAAGGAGTTTTGGGGGTGGTTATAAGGGGAGGGTTATATGCGAGGGGGTTTGAAACCAAAAAAAAAAGAAAGCTTCAAAAAAAGGCAATAGCGGTGCCTTTTACATTTTCTGTTTTAATCAAGCTTTAGGCGTCATTCTAAATCGAATTCATTTCAACTTACAATTAAAGGGAGGCTTATATGTTTAGAGGTAAATCGGCCTACGACTCGGGGGGTGGGGGGTGGGGAGGGGGACGCCTTTACAGGGCTTGAAATAACGGCCGGTCAACGGACAATGTCCGGTCAGAATCGAGCGTTGTCCGAGCAAATCCGTGGATGACCGGACATGTTGTCCGGTCATTTGGGCTTTCAAAGAAAATTCAATTTTGAGACAATCATGATGGAAATTTATTCAATCTTATCATGTTCCCAAAAAAGATATTAACTAGGGGGACTTTTGTTTGTGAAATTGATGACATTTCCTGTTGTCAGTCGCGACGCAAATTGGCTACTGCTGTCCGTGTTGTAAAGTGCTCAAGATTGCACGCCCCGCTGCGCCGAAAAATAACCCGCATAGCATCTGGTGCCAACAAGAGCGAAAAAAAGAAAGACCCAGAGTGACATTATAATGAATTAGGCCACCCTCTTGCTCCAATAAAACTTCTCAAATGTAACATTAAAATAAAAGGCTTTGAGTTTTAATGAAGTAAACATAAAAATAGAGTTTGTCTTTATTTCGCCCTGTCCGTAAATTTGTTGCGTGTTTATCACTAAACGACTAATTCAAAAGGTTAACTCAACATTCATCACCCTGTTCTCTTTGAAATACATTATGTATACGTTTTAACGCATTCAAATGCCAATGAATGCCCACTACCACGATTTTTTGTGCGAATGGCGATGTTACTTCGGCCAGCAGGTCGCGCCGAAGGATACGATTATTTTCATTGCGCAACGTGTAAGAGATGTAACGGAGAATTCACAAAATGTATATGACACTCAAAAGAAACGTTAACCAACAAAATTATATGAGCTGAAAGTTCATGCTGAAATGTAAATGTTGTACTATAAAGTTGAAGGTTACGTTTTGTTAGTGATTTGGTCAGGTTTCAACCAAACGTTAACGATGAGGTTGTGTCTTGCAATCCACGTGTCTGACTTACAATGTAACAGAACAAAGAGTAATAAAACTACAACTTCTAATTTTTTGCACACTCGATTTGTTTTGAGTAACTAGAGTTGCTGTTGCTGAAAATGATACAGATCATGTAACTTGCAAAATGGAGCCTCTATTGCAACTAGTTAAGATGGATTAAATTTGTCCGGCCAAAAATGCCTATGTCCGAGCAAAATCACGTTTGACCGGACAATGTGTCCGGCGCCTGCCCCATAGTTATTTCAAGCCCTGCTTTATAAGCGGCACTTTTCGATATTCCTATAAAACAAATTGAACAAAGCAACATAACAGTGCTGAACGGCTTTGAATTTCAGACTAAATCTTACAAATTAAGGTCCATAATTACACATCCCAACTCAAAAGAGAAACAAAGTTACTATGTATAGTGGAGTGAGTATTGCTAACTTCGGTTGTGATCATTGCACCCAACAACGTGATTAAGCCTTAATTAAATATAACCATTATAAACATACCTCTTTGTTGACTGAATCACACTGAGACTAAACTGAAACCAAACTACAAACACTGAGAATTGTTCAGTTACAAACTGTCACGGTGTGCGATACTGCAAGGACGAACTGAAACCGAAATATACCTCGTAAACCGGCAGCGTTAGTACCACTGTCTTAAAGGTCATTTTTCAAAGCCCTCCACGCCATCATAAATCACTGTTGTATAGTATTTCTGGTCTCTATGTATGGACGCCTTTTGTAACTCTATTTATCCTTGCATGTGTTTGTACATGTGATAAAGATATCCACAATGATCGTAGCAGTATTCATCACACATCCAGCAAGTGAATCTTTCTTTGTCTCTAGCAGATCGTTTCTCGCAATCATGTCTCTTAAGAGCATTGTCATCAGTGAAATCTTTACCACATGATTCACATTTGTGAGGTGAATCAGAATGGAATTTTCTTTTGTGATAAAACAATGTCTGTTTCCGGGTGAAACATTTTTCACACTCAGTACACTTGAAGGGTCTTTCTCCACTGTGTATCCGCAGATGGACTTGCAAGTGAGATGAGCTTCGGAAATATTTTTTACACCGAGTGCATTTAAAGGGCGTTTCATTGGTATGTATTAACATGTGTCTTTTCAAGTGTGATGACCGTTTGAAACACTTTTCACACTGAGTACACTTGAAGGGTCTTTCTCCACTGTGTATCCGCAAATGGTCTTGCAGGGTACTTGAACGTCGGAAACGCTTTCCACACTGAGTACATTTGAAGGGCCTTTCATTGGTATGTATTAACAAGTGTCTTTTCAAGTGTGATGATTGTCTGAAACACTTTTCACACCGAGTACACTTGAAGGGTCTTTCTCCACTGTGTATCCGCAAATGGTCTTTCAGGGTACATGAGTGTCGGAAACATTTTTCACACCGAGTGCATTTGAAGGGCCTTTCATTAGTATGTATTAACAAGTGATTTTTCAAGTGTAATGATTGTATGAAACACTTTTCACACTGAGTACATTTGAAGGGCCTTTCATTGGTATGCATTAACAAGTGTCTTTTCAAGTCTGATGATTGTATGAAACACTTTTCACACTGAGTACATTTGAAGGGCCTTTCATTAGTATGCATTAACAAGTGACTTTTCAAGTGTGATGATCGTCTGAAACACTTTTCACACTGAGTACATTTAAAGGGCCTTTCATTAGTATGTATTAACAAGTGGCTTTTCAAGCCTGATGGCCATCTGAAACATTTGCCGCACTGAGTACATTTGTAGGGCCCCTCATTGCTGTGTACCTTCCGATGATTGTATAAGCCTGCTGCTCGTTTAAAGCACTTATCGCATTGAGTACACTTGTAGGACCTCTTGTCGCTGTGAATCCTCAGATGAGCTTTTAGAGCTGACTTGACATTAAAACACTTTAAACAGATGCTACACTTGAACGACTTCTTTCCAGTCCTCTTGTCGGCGGCCATGCCTGGCATTTTAAAAGCAAGATTATCAGTTGATTTAAATTCACTAATTAAAGGCAACATTTATTAATGCGTTGATCAGTAACGTTCGACTGACGGCGTTGCTGGAGTATGAGTCAACGTAAGCTGATCATCATAACAATAGAAAACCTCCCTATAAAGCTTCAAAACGTTTCAAATACGTTGTATGTTTAATGAGTGTCTGTATCTGATAAAGACACGACTAAACTTGACGTCCAATTTTTTTAAAACCAAAATAACGCCATAATCTAAATATTAATGCAAGAAAATCTACCTGGAGTTATGAAAACCGGGTTAGCAAACATGTTATAATTTTTCTCAACTTGCCCTGTCTAATAGCTTGACATATGTTCACCGTGTTGCTTGCTTATGTGTGTGTGGTTTTTTTTTGCTTGTTTTGTGGTTAGGGATTTGTTTTGAAGTGGATGTAGACAGAATTACTATCTTCCCCCCCCCCCTCCCCTCCTGATTTTTTTCCCTACCCACAATTCTTTCTTTCACACAAGTGACAGTTATTTGAAATCAGCGTGCGCCTCAAGCTGGTTTGGGTGCCGTTTAGCAGTTTTGTTTTATATATTGGTCACCTTAAGAAAAGTTTCCCGGAGAGCATCATGTAAAGCTCTGAGATGGGACAAAGTTATTACGATTCGCAGAGTCTGCATCGTCCAATATCGTATTATATTCTCGTTTCATTTGGCTAAACGGATCAATCACCCTGATCCGGGCTGAGACAGAAAGGTACGATATTGTTCGCTTTTCTAAGGTGACCACTAAGTCTTTGGCCTCGGGAACAGGCTCTTAGGAGTCAAATAAATTAGGTGAGAGCAAAATTGCCAGTGAACTTTGACCCAGGCCAAGACTTTTTGACTTTTTTTCTGGTGTGAAAACAAGGCTAAGGTGATCCGCCGACCGTGTGACTCTACATCCGGGAACTTGAATAAGACGAGTGTTAGAGAAAAGTCCAGAGGTGTTTATTTGCCAGTAGGCTGAGTTTTTCCGAGTTATTCGATGATATTTCGCTTATGTTGAACGTGAGAAGATTATGCGTGGTTGTGGATAGTCTTATCAGTGCCGCGAAAGTGTGTGATTGTGTGATTTCCGCATGGTGTTGACAGGTATGTGATCGCGTGGTTGAACTGTGGTTTGGCCAAAATATTCTGTGCCAGCCATTAATACTGTTTCGTCGGTGTTTAGCTTAGCTGATTGTACCTTGTAAAAGCAATGCTCGACTTAGGAAAATTGGATCTAGGTCTAGTTTCAGCGGGTCCTATTAGCATTGAACCATAGGCCGATTTTGGCAGATAAGAAGGTCATAATTTGTGCACTGTGTCTCATTCAGTTTGTTGTCTAGTCCATGCGGAATCGTTGTTTATCGGACCGCGAAAAAAGTAGTGTTTTGCTAGCTATTTAAGTTGTTATGTAAGCCTTAACCAGGCACTCTTTCGCTGCAGTTCACTCAACTTAAAATTTTCTAGACTGAAATGATACCGGTTTGAAACTTCGCGAAGTCAGATTACTGAATAAATGTTCTAAAATTTGCGTCATTTTAAATTTGGACTCGTTGGAATGCTTCTGGGGACCATTAACTTCCTGCCCGGCGTCAGATAAAGGCTTTTAATCGGCCTTTGAACGAGTTTTCTTTTTTTAAATTGCCAACTAGTAGAAATAGTGGATATTTTTGCTAACCCGGTTTTCAAAAATCCAGGTATAAATATAAGTTGATCTATATCAGTGATTTTGAAGCCGTTCAAAAAATTCGCAGTCGTGTATTATCACGTGTAAAAACTCTTTTAAACCTGATAAAAATGCACTTATGCTCGTTTTTTAAACAGTACTTAAAATCCCTCGCCATAACTTAATTTTTTTCTTTGAAAAATATCCGAAATAACATTATGTATTATTATTTGTTATCCTCTCCAAGGCCCGGCTGACCTTTGGTCGGGGTGGGGGTGGGGGGGAGGTGCCTAGTCTAAAATGAAAACCTGCAAAACAATGACTATGACGTTCAAATGTCAGCCTACTAATTCTCACATGAGAAGGCCTCGTTTACATGGAGAAACGTTTTTCTGCCTTCCCGAGCTACCCAGGGTGTGACAATTTTTCATAGCATTTCGTTACAAACTGTGCATGGCCAATCTTTACAAGCGTAAAAAGTCGTCATGACCCACCTAGCTGAGACTCCCTCTCGTGTTGGTAGGGTCACCCTCTTAGATGGGTCAAGTTTTCTCCCAATAGACTGTTTACCTCGCCCATCCGGGCCCACTCGGTCAAGGTGAGACAATCAGAGCATGCGCGAGCGTAGTTGCTCGGTTAAAGATTGGCAAAGGGGTCCTTTTTTTGTCATATAAACGCGGGGACACGTTTTCTCCACATAACAGGGGCCTCAGAGAAAAGACGTTTGTTAATTAAGAGCGCTCCTCTACTTAACGCTGACCCCAGGACTGCTGGGTCTTTACTGAAACCCACTGAAATTCACAGCTGATCCGCCAGTGAAGTACGATCAGTCGAAGTGTTTCGGTAATCAACTAAAACCTTGTAAAGTTGATCAGTGCAAAATCTTATTAAGATTGTAATAAAATAATTCAGTTTTCTTTATATACTTTGCTACATCCATCAACATTTCCCAATTCCCGGTCTTGTCTGGAACTCTACCTTTTCTCCGCCCCTCCCCCTCCCCCCAAAGAAAGAGACAGGGGCTGTTTACCGTTTACAAAACGAAAAGTCTGGTTGAAAAGTAAATGGAACAAGACTTTTTTGGTCGCCGGTTCCCGTGGTAAATTTCCGGAAGCAACGGAACAACTGAAACGGTGGTTCTGTTTTTTTTTCCCGGACGGAATGCTCCAAACGGAAATTCGTGTTCCATTTTGATACCTGTTTCAGGCCTTCGCGGCACGAAATTCAGTTACTAGCCTTGAATTTTCCATACCATTTTGCCAAACCTTGAACTGACAGGTTTACCCAAGTAGTAGATGGTAATCAACTGGAGACTTTTCTCTCTCTCCAGGGTGCGGCGGGAAGAAGAGCATCTGGTACGAGTTTGATAAGTTTGGTTTTATATATTCTGTCTTGAGCCCATAACTATAAGATATAACATGACCCTGTGAATTTTTGTGGCTTACTGCATTTGTTACTGCCTCTTAGAGGCGATAAGCCATTATGCTATCGCGTTAAGTGAGTGTAACAATAGAATCCAAGCCCACAACGAGCTACGCCGATTTCGATCCGATATTCCCCGATCTTAGCCTCCTTTGTTTGGGGACATGGTCGGTTGTTCAACGTTTGTCGAGGAAAGATTGGAATGACCTTGAATGTTACTCGGAATTAGCACGTGATCACGCGTGCTCTCAAAGCTGCCAAGTCGTTTGACGCCGTCGACTGGCGTCAGTTGTGCAACCTGCGGGAGGTTAAACTTTCTCTTTTGTGCTCTGGAAAAATAGGTTTTTTGTTTCTGGTACCGGGAATCACAGACAGCCTCTGTTTGCATTTAACCCCTGTCAGCTTTTCAGTGCACCAGTTAAAGTGGCGAGGGGGGCAAGAAAAGCAGTAATTGCAAGAACTTATTATAACTACAACTTTGTAAGTGATGAGGAAAATGGGCCAGGGCCGGGAAAGTAGACTATTAGGTCATCAAGCTGGAGGTCCCCAAGGGCCAACGAATTGATGAGCAGACTCCAAAGAAGAATCGATCGGTCAAGAGAAGAGGAAGGGCGACCAAACGTGTATAAACTAAAGCTGATTTGCTAAGCAATGATTACTCTTCAGTACCGGAGCTTTCTTGGATGGTTTTAAGAAATTTTGATCCCTTTAAGGTTGATGAAAGAGACAATGTCATCTCTTTTTGCAATTATCCAGGAGGAAACTTTTAATCAATGGCAAATGAAAAAAAAATCCAGCAAAAAATTCTAAATGACATTTTTTACAATTGGTTAAATAAAAAAGAATTTTTCGTGATGATAATAACAATTTCAGTGCTTTTTTTTCCTTTACAAAAAACGAAATAATGCCTGAGGGACCTCACTGATCATTAAAATGCAATATAGGTTCCTGGACTCGTAAAAAAATTCGTTTTATGGCGTCAATCCAGTGTGCCCATCCGTATTCGGGCAAAGTCGGTCACGTTTTGCGTTCCCTGCTAGCAGAGGTCTCTCACGACGAGGCAAATGAACGTTTTGCGCAGTGATATTGCTGCAAATTATAAACTCTGGAAAACGAGATTCATCTGGGGAGAAGATAGTTTCTATAGCCACTATTGTAAGTCAACAAAAAAGTAAAAAATAATGTATCATTCATCTGAACGAAGCCGTTGTTATTCCTTTGGCTTAGTGTTCTGTTTAGTTTTGCCACGTTTTTGTTCGAGATCGTAGATCACAACCTTTCAGTTTGACCTCAATTAGCTTTTGTTGTTTTCGTCTCTTGTTTCGTATCATATGACTCTTGACACGAGTTACGTGCTATTTGTCACGCTTGTTCTTCTTTCGTGACCTACAATCCTGGACAAAATAAATGGAAAACCTAGACACCCCTCCCAACCCCCTCCAAATCAAGGATGGGAAAATAGCGCGTTTTCGCCCTTCGCGCGGCTTCATCCTTGATTTGGGGGGGTTGGTGGTTTGCTGTTCCATTTCATTTTGTCCAAGATTGTAGCACGTTTCTAAGCGTGTTTGTTACTTTTTACATTAACCAAGTAGTACCCGTAGTTTTACTCTCCTAGTTGTATTGTTTTATAGTGTAGTTGTAATGTTGCTTTTGATTGAGGAGAAACTATTTAGTTCAGTTTCTTATCAATAAAACAGATGAAACAGGGACCTTAGCCTGTGTAGCAAAGCGTTTCCAATCGCGTTATTGCGCGAACGTTAGAGCGGGAGCCAAAAAAAATTGTAAGGGGGAAGGAGACGCTTGCTACGCAGGCTACAGTGACCTGTAATCGTGACCTGTGGAATGTGACATGTGAACTGAAGAAACCGCTCCATCGGTATTGAGAC